TCTTCTACGATTTAATTTATGTAATAGAAGCATTATGCATCGAGCCCAGTGCTATAGGAGACATTCTAGGGTACTTGGTTTTAAACAACATAAACAGAGTCTGTGAATGGCACAGTTGTGAGCTGCCACTTATAAAAAATGATTTTTGAAAGCTGTTGCCCAGACTAAGAGGTGATTTGTCTAACCCTGTGATACAGAGTTAATTAGAAGAAAGCATCATGGCTAATAGCTTTTTAGAACCACTCTAAAACACTCACAGAGAGGAATATGATACTACTGCAGAGAGCCATGTGTTTTACCACTCTCACTGAAACACACTGATCAGAGAAAACTTCTTAATGTGGACTTAAATTACAGACATTTAGTGGAAATTAGGCAAGCTCTCTGATACATATTTACAGTTACTAAGGAACTGTTTATGACAGGGAGATGAGCTGAAAAACAAGTAGATGTTTCCTAATTTATTCTACAGCATTTACTGAAGTAAACGGCTTTTAGAAGTTTCTGAATCCCGTGGCACAGTCTGTGTTTTGCAATGTTCTGGCTTCAATGAGGATACCATTTTGCAATTAGATTTGCAAAATCCACTACTGAGATTCTGAATTAAGGTATTTTTTTTCTTAAGTGTGATCTATACTGGCAGGACATAGAGGAATTATAGTTATAGATCACTAATAGTAATTGATGTGTAGTTGCAGGTCTGAAATGATATGATCTTTAGTTTTGAAAAATATATCAATTAAAGTAGCTACAGGAATTAAGTTAGTGCTACCTACCCTGTTTTTACTAATCAGCCATTAGAGGGCAATATTTGTACGCACACACGCAGGCACACACACACGCATACCCGTGTACATGCCCTACATATGTTCATGAGTTCAAAGATTATCTGCCCCAAAAAAATCAGTGGTAGAAGGTCTCTCATTGAAGTAAATTAAAAACTAATTGCTCCGTTAGCTGCATTCAGGTTTTTTCCGAGAGTTGTCAGCATCTGAGTTTTCAGGGAGACCTGAGCATTTAAAAAATGTGATGAGATTAAAACCACGCTGGTTTTGAGGTGACTGGATAGGTCAAGCACAAATCTACATGGACTTTTGTATTATCCTGTCATCTGAGTAGTTTGAAAAATTATTAGGAAGAACTTCATTGTTTCATGACAAATGTCTTCTTTTCTTGCTCTTTTGGTATTTTCAAGTTGCTGACACTGGATTTTATGACAATTAACTACTGCCCTTTTGTACTTTTTTGGGTCTGATAGTCACTAATGCGTCATCCTCTGTGAAGTTCTGTAGTTATCTTAAAATGAGGACTGTAATTCTGCTTGAAACACCATGGGCAAACGGGGCATCACTTTATTTTGTAGCCTATATCTGGGTAACGAATGAAAAATGATGAGTAGATAATTATTAAATATGTATACTTCCCATGGAGCATCGAGCAAAACAAATGGTAATCTGAATTGCAGCAAAAATAATTCTGGCTAACTGCTGTAATGTAGAAAAGATTCACAGCTATACCTTTCATTTTCATAGGACTGCTGCTCTTGTATAGAATTATACTAGCACTTTTTGGTCCTTGTTTTCTTATAAATGTATATTATAGTGTAAACTTAGGAACCTTTTAATTTATTCATGAGAGAGAATTTAATATGGTGATGATTTCTAGCCTTTATGAGTTGCATCTTCTATAGTGTGGCTCTAATGGTGATGGCAGTGATTCTGTGTTGTGGTGAGTGGCGTTTTTTTAAGCTAGATAATTTGAGCACAACCATTCTAATCATATCCTCAGTTATTCATTCTTTATTCAGTATTTGCATCATGCTAATCAGTAATGCTTATCACTGAACGTCTGTTTAGCTCCAAAATTATAAAGTAAAGCAAAGCAGGGCAATTCTTTTTGTTTCAAGTGACTAGGAGAAGTTGTAGAAGAAAAACAGGTCTTTTGGTCCTCAAAACATGATTGTGTTTTAAACTTATGCACATGGCTATAATTACAGTCAAAGCATAATTTGGTGGTGGTAGCAGAATGAGACTTAAACAAATCGCTGTTCCGCTACAGTAATTCAAAATAAGCTTGTTGCGTTTGTATTATGGTGTGTAATCATAATAACCAGCGCAGTGAATTAATAAAATCTTCTTGTCACTAAAAATAAAAAGGAAATAATTGGTGAGAGAGAGTTAACTTAACAGATGACTATAGTCAGCATCCTTTCAACCTAGAAATGGGAATGTGAAGGTCACCCCCATCTCAGCTGACAAACGTAGAACGGTTTGTTGGTAAACAAATTAATCTTTTGAAAGGTCACCATTTGTTTGAAGTTTTTATCCAGTTCTTGTCATCTGGAATTGGAGATTGACTGTCATTTTGCTAGGTAGGGGTGCAGCCGAAGCTGCCGAAGCTGTTTCTGTCCGTATCAGCATTCCTCAACCCAACTCGGTGCCTGATTGCGATGCTATGGGCTGCTGGTTTACAGCTGTCTCTGGACAAGAAGGGAGGCCCACCCCTGAATTCCAATAAGTTGGTCCTGCGTATTCTGCCTCGTGTAAGCTGGCCCTTTGCCCGCAAGTAAAATGTATCACGGTTCAAGCCAGCAATTATCCTCCTTACTTCCTTCTGTGCTGCTTCTGTTGCCTTTTTCAAAAAGCAGATGTGGGATTCACCCAAGTTCTCCATCTATTCTCTCTCGCACCTGCTGTGGCAGAATTTTGATAGAGGCAGTAGGCAACCAGAGGAGCAAAGCTTGGTTTTTCCAAGTACATGGAAAATACACAGTTCAGAGCCATCTCTGGCTACTTTAAGAGCTTAAAGTAGGTAAGAATAATGTACAAGACCTGTTGTTAAAGATGCCTACTTGCTCCAGATTGAAGGTTTTATGTTGGGCTTTCCATTTAAATTGGACTTTATTTTCTATAGATAAACAAAATCTGAGAGAAATAATGTGTATGAATATATTAGAATTACATCGAAGGGAAACTATTAATTATTAGGTAGATAAAATGCTGGACTGTATAAATTGGAGCAAGAGGGATAAATTTTCTATATAATTTTCCTACTCAGAAATGTTCTTGAATAAAAAGACAACCAGTCATAAAAATTGTTCATATTTTACATCTCTTGCAGAGACTGTTACAAATGTGACTCATCTGACTTCAGAGGAGTTCCACTGACACTGGTGACAATTTGTTCGTTAATCAGGATTTAGTATTTCTGCATAGGATTCCACATGCTGGTTCTGAGACTCGGGGGACCACAATTAGGTTATCTGAAACTGGAGTTAAACACTTTTATTTACTATTTATTACTAAGGTTATCTGGCTTGATTGTAAGAACAAGATCCCTTTTCCCAATAGAAACTGATAGGTGATGGAAATGTGAGGGAAACTGCTCTTTGATACCACTTCCTTGCTTTGCTGCTTAGCACATAAATCAACACAGAAAAAATAAATCCATTTAGAGTGCAAGGCCGTAAAACTATAAAATGTAACTAAATCCTATAGTAATACTTGTCTAGGCAAAACCAAAGCTGACCTGATTTAATGTGGGTAGAAGACTCAAGACTGGGCTTGATATCCTATGGAGAGCCCTGCTAACCAACATTTCTATTATTTCTGTGACTGTGGTTGAGAGCAAGGAGTGAAAATCCCTTGGCACCTCTGCCTTTACTCCATTTGAGGTTTTTTACAATCTGATTTTATCCCATTGCTCAAAACTGACCTCCTCCTCCTCCTCCTGCGTGAGCAGCAGCCTCTGTTGAGTTGTAACCCCTGATGGGACAGACCCATCGCAGGCTCCCAGTATCCTTCCATATTGACATAGGAGTTCTTTCTGAATTAGTTATCAAGCAGCTTTGCATCTCTCTTCAAGTAAATTTATCTAAATGATACTTTCTTAGCTTGCTTGTACAATATCAGGATCAGGTAGCTTCAAAACCCTTGCTAAAGTCAAGAAGTAATACTTTTCCTCTTCTGCTCACAACGCTTGCTAAGCTGTTGTAGAAAAAAATAAGATTGATCTGACATATTTGATCTCGACAGGTTGAAGTTGCTCACGTATTTGTTACTTTCCAGATGTTTAAGGAACTTCTTCATAAAAATATTAAGGTAGATGACAATTTGGAGAAGATAATCACGAGATGTTAGATTGCTCTGTGTTATGCCTTTTCTACCATTACTATCAAGCTCTGTGGTTTTCTGATATTTATTTACCAAATCTGTCTAATCTTCCTGGCTGACAAGCTGTAGTTTTGGTACACAATAATACTCTTCTTTTCCCCTGTATTTAATACTGGTCTCTTTTTCCCCTGTATTTAATACTGGTCTCTATCCTTTTACTGGGGGGAAAGAACATACTTCTAAACATATTTTTAAAACCAAGTTGTTCTAGTTAAATATTGCTGTCTAGGCAAAAAGAAAACAAACAGAGAACTAATCGGAAAATCCCTGCGGTGTTACAACAAGTGCCCTATTTAAAATGAAGCAAAAAGGAAAAAAAAAAATCAAGTGGGAGAGGTTTATCCACAGGAGAAAAACACTTTAGAAAGGGTAATAGAATTGTTTTTCTCATGTCCCAGGTTAATTACACTCAGAAGCGCTTGAAATGAAAAAATAGTTTTTCAGCACGCGCCAAGCATATTTTAAGGCAAGTGAGCCTGAGTCTGCACTGCAAATTAAGTGCTCCCTTCCAGCCCTATAAAACCGTACTTTAAAAGTACCGGTGATGGAGCAGGCTGTGTGCTGACTTCAGGAAAGCAGCTTTGCTGAATCATAATCTTCATAACAAACTTCGTCCGCAGACGTTCTTCATGCAGGAAAATGTTTGAGGTCACCTCGTAGCAGTAGCAGCCTATGGGTTGGGTTATATAGGGTGTCATCCTTTGCTTCCACTCTGGTTTGGGTCTGTCTATGCCACAGGCGTTAAAATGCTTGTTAGGAGCTGCCAGTTTTGGAATATACAATATTAAATTCACTGGGTTTTGTGTTTGTGACTTAAAAGCTGTCTGTGTGAGTAAAGGTTTTAAATTGTCTATTGAAAACCTTTGGAAAAGATGCAATCTTTTAAATATCTTTTAAAGTTAGGTCACTGAATAATGCTGATAAAACCATACAATGATGCTAAAAGTAAAGATTTCTCTTGCAGTACTTAATATGAATTTTATTCTTTTTAGGGTCTTCTTGTTGTAACAGAGTTGGCCTAATTTTAGTGAAAAGCACTGAAGGGTGAAAGCATTTTGTCAAATTTTGCTTTGATATCTCACTGAAGCCTTCAAGGGGGCAGCTAAGGCAGCAGATTGGGCGCTGAAAGGACACAGAAGAAGGGTGTACAGAGTGGGTGCAATTCTTGTGGGTAACTTTTGGGTCAGCTCCATGGTTCCTCTGTGTTGCCTGTACTGTGTAACAAAGTGAATCATCGTGGCACTGTGCAGTGTAAATGAGAGCTTAAATCACATTACAGCTGTATCTGTGCTTATTTTAATGTGATACCTGCCATGGACTTTATAGAAATCAAAGGATACAGCAAAGAAGAATTAACTATCTCTTTCCAGTTGAAAATAACCAAACCTTTAGGCTGCTTTTGGACTCGTACACTCTGCCTGAACTGCATTTCTTTGTAGCTTATTACATCTCTATGAGCACAAATGAAATATATATGTTTCATAGTGATGCTTATCATAACAAAACTCCTGGGATTTAGACTAGAATCAAGCTGACCAACAGGAAAATCAGTGCTGCTTTGCTGATACAATAGCAACAGCCTGGAAAAGGAGTCACTGTTTAATTAAATTTCTTTTGTTTTATATGTTTTTGTTGTGTCCTCAACAAACTGCTGGGGCTGAGAGTGAGTACAAAAGTGTGGTTTATTACTCCCTTTTCTCAGTATCCACCACTTATATGCCAGCTGGTATAAAGTTAATCTTTGTTATGTGCTTATTGCTGTTTTCTTGGAACACAAGGACGTGAAGATTCATACATCCAGATCCCTTAAAGCATAATGCTTCCTAATGGCCATAACTAAAATGAGTGCCCATGATTTCTCTGAAAAAAATTCTCTATTATGATAAAGAGTGGATATTTTCTGTCTCCCTAATGTCTCTCATGGACAGTGTTATTATACAAATTGGGAGGAGAAATTCTAATAGTTTCTTCTGATCTATCTCATTTCCCTATTAGGATTATAAGCACTTCTTTACAATTGCCTATCCCCTTCCATGAAGTTGATGTTATTCACTAATTATGACATGATAGTGCTCCAAGATCCCAATCATGGCCTGGATCCTGTTGTACTCAAAGCTGTACACGAGCATGGTAATCAGTCATTAAAACCTAGTATTTAAACTAGGAAGTCCCACTGTGCTCTGTAAAATAGGTAAATGCCGTGATTCTCATGTTGTAGATCTATCAATATTTCCTAGCTTTCTAATTTTACGTATTTAATATTATTTAAGGGTAGTTTATAATTCAAAATGAAATCTTTTTTCAAAGCAAATTGCATACAAAGCTGTTTGCTTCCTTTTCCCAGTCTGCCCCAGCTTCTTTTCCCATTTTTATCTTGTCCCAGTCTCTGCTGGCTTTCCTGTTTGCTCAAAGCTCCGTTGCACCCCTCCAACTGCCTTTCTTCTTCTGAACACCAATAACATATTTACACCTCTGTCTTGGCGCTTATTTACCCTATTCCTTCCAATTTTGCCACTTCCTTCTTGTGTTGCCTGGACCCAGCATGGAAGTTACTGGAGAGTCTGTAAAGCTGCAGTTGCAGAGGAAAATCTGAGCAAAGCTTGATCCCCGGGCTAAAACTGTTTGTTAAAACTGAGAAACCTTTATCTAGATCTCCAAAAATCTGTTGACGGAGTAAGGTTTGATAGACTAGTGTTAAATTTTCTTTTTGCTTCATAAAACATTAGAGTTTAAGGTGAATCTTTCATGTCTCTCGAGGTTTATCACTGTCTCATTTTGTAGCATCAGCCAGGTGAAAGAAATCAGTATAATCTTCTGCTGGTGGTGGCTCACTATTGTCAAGTGAGAGATCTCAGTGATGTTACTTGCCTTGAAGTTGCATGTGCTGTAATGCTTTAAACCCACTGAATACCTCACTCCCTGTTTCTTTAAGAGTTGAATACAGCCCACGTTGCAAATAGAATAATACATGTATTCCCAGTCAGAAAGAAACTGAAGATACTTAACATATTGAAGAGAGAAAGAAATGTTAGATGATAGCACAGAATTTTTGTATTTATAATAGTGAAGTATAATGGCAATATATTCTTTTCCCTGTGCAATGGTCTGTGTGTGCGATAACAAGCGTGACAGTAAGACACATGATATCACTGTCCCAAAGGGATGTGTGTCACTGCTTCAATTCCTGGCACTTGGAACCAGCAGGCTCTGTTTTTTCAGGTGAGCACAGGTTAATTGGGGAAGTGAGGGAGCTGTAATCCCCACATTAGCACAGCCAGCGTGGCACATGTTTCCACACCACGTTATCAGGCTGTGTCATTCCCTGCTGTCCTTGAGGAGCCCTGAAACTTCAGAAGTTGCCATACTCACTGTGCCCTGATTTGTGAGTACTTTCACGTATTTTAATTCCATTCCTATTCTTTCCATTGAAAATTTATTTACATATTTGAAAGTGCTTCCTTTTCTTTCTGGTACCTTGCCTGTGCATTTTATATATTTAAAGACTGTTCTGTCAAGTAATACTCTGTTTACACTAAACTCATTAAAACTGATTCCTTTATTAACTAGTACACTGATTTTTGCATAGCAGAAGTCACAAGACATCAATTGGATTTAATTAACTTTCTTTTAAATGACTAAAGTAACGACAGTAGACAATACTTTAGCATGTTCATAAGTAGTAAAAGCAGTGCTTGTAATGTTACTTTATTAAATCTTAATGAAACTGTGCATGGCAGAAATTATATCTATTATTTATTATCATGGGAATGAAAAAGTGTGCCTTTGCAAATCCAGGATTTCCCTTTGCTAAAAGAAGATTCTGTCTTTTCCTAGATGGGCAGTCCACAGATAGTGAAAGGCCGTGCAGTTACCAGCCTTTGGGGTTTGCCTGCTTCTCACCACAGGGATTTTCCCTTACCCCTCTTAGAGGAAGATGTAACAAAAGGTGAGTCGCAGAAGCCTACCTGGGTACAGTTGTCAATAGATGTGTGCTGCATGAGCAGTGGTATTTGCTGTTTGCAGCAAGTATCTGGCAATCAAATTTTTGACACCTAAAAGCTTGTAAGAATTTTGATCTCAGGTGTTGCAAACGCCAGAGATCAACTTCAGAGTACTTACTCCATGTGCAGTGTAGCACATGTTATGTTGAGCATCGTCCTCCCTGAGTCAGTTATCTTGTAATTCACAGAGTTCAGTTGCTGCTGGAAAGAAGAATTGTTTGTGATGGAGGATTCTTGTGACTAAATAACATGGTCAAAATAAACGGTCATGATTAATGCCTGCTTTTTAATCATTCACTCTTAACTAGAGCTGCACTTGACTATTCTAGCAATCAGTGCATAGTCATGATTACACTGTGGTTTACAAGAGTTAATACTCATCCATTCTACAGATTAAATTGCCATTCTACAAGCACATAATTCCTCCTCAGAATCTGCACCATTACAACACGTTTCATGTTGCAATTTTTATAGGCAAAGTTCACCGTCCTTGAAGGTAAAATATTGAATATTGAAAGATAATCTTTTAATAAAAGAAAACTGCTGCTTTTCTAGTCTTAATCTGACATTGGAAGAACTTGAGTTTGCCTTTGTTTAATTCTTTCTTCTATTTCTGCTATTTTTTTAATTTCATATCTGGAATGTATATGAATTGTTCAGTAATGTCATCTTCTCATAGGTATTCTGAGCCTAAGTGAACAAAGGCTCATCCCTCCAGTAGCAAAGACAACTCTCCAGACACGTCCTGTTGTATCCAAAGCAGCTCCTTTCCACGAATTTCCCAGGCAGCACAAGAAACCAGCTGTAGGTGAGTACAAAGGATTGATAACAACCATGAGTTGCATCTCCAGCTTCACTTTCAGGCCCTTCTTTTATCTCCCAAGGAAACAGCTGTCTAATGAGCACTCACTCAAATTCTTGAGAATACAAGGTGCATGAAGATGTACCTGAGCATCCTGTGTCTTGCAACTGAATGGGAATCAGATTTCTTAATCCTTCTGAGGATTTGGTCCCCCTTCATTTCTGAAGTCCTGATAGGTTTCTACCTGCGTGTTTCAAATTCTAAGCACCAGAATCTGGAGGTCTGACCATTGGTGTTAGTGTAAAGCCAGTGTTACTGTAAATCATGACATACAACAGTTGATCAAGCATCTGTTTTGCCAGTGTGATTATCAAACAACTCCTAATAAGTGAATATACTCACAGAAATGGGATTTGTGTACTCCAAACTGTTGTTGCTGCAGCTGCATGCGGTGTATGACATCAGTATGGAAAGGCGCGTAAGCAAAATGAGCCATAAACTCAGTAGCAATCCCATAGATTTGAAAAATGCTCTTCATGAAAAGAGGTGGTTGCAAACTAAAATTATACATGGAAAAACCTGGGAGATAAGTGCTAATATTTTGAGGTTGTTATCCTGGGTGCATTGTTGGCTGGCATGTTACACGCTTTAGATCGTTATAAATTAAAACTGAAAATTGCAACCCACTTGGACATGAGAGGAAACTGGAGCGTGCCAGTACTCAGTGGTAGGTGGTAGAGTGTCACTTTGTTGCCCTCGTTGCACTACTTTTAACAATGAAACCTGCAATCCATTTTTTTCTTTGGTACAGGAGAGATTAGTGGTAGGGTGGACCCTGAGAATACAGACACCATCACCTTCCCAAACTCAAAGGAAGGAATTTCTGGCACATATTCCTCTAGCAAAGGTAATATTGCTCCACTTCCATCCAGCAGCTCCATGGTTTCAGCAAGGAAATCAAAGGCGGTGTGGACATGTGCAGCTCAACAGTTGGAATCTGAGCTGCAGGTTCCCTCTCAGACACAGGTATTTAGACATTGAGGCTAATGAGGTTTTTATTTGTGTTTTTAATACTGTCTTCACCAGAGATGGTTTAGAAAGAGACTGTAAATCACTTGGTGCAGGAGGGTTTGAACCAAAGCCAGCAAATAGTAAATACTGAAGTAGGTAGGAAATACTTTGTATATCACCAGTTCCTACTTTCTCAAGCCTTCTACCTAAATTTGTCTACTTTTTCACAGAATTTTAGAAAACAAGTCTAGAAAGGATTTTAGGAGGTTATCTAGACCTGCAGGCAGAATTACCTGTACCTGGAATATTGCGGACAGATGTTTTTCTAACCTGTTCCGAAAACTTCTCGGTGATAGCAGCTCCACAGTCTCCCTAGGCCATCTGTTCCACTGCTTAACTAACTATCTTTACTGTTATAAAAGAGTTTTTTAATGTCTCGTCGAAATCTCCCTGACTGCAGTTAAGCAAATGTAGTGTTTCCCTTTATATTTACAGAAATCTATAGGGGAGTTTGACCTTGGCTGCTTGATGGCCTCTGATTGTTCTTGATCCCCATACAAAAGGGACATTTTTTTCTTTTTATGGCTAATTATTGTGTTCCATAGCAAAGTGTCTGGAGTTTGGCTTCATCTTTCCAGACTTTTTTTGACTTTTGTGCCACTGAGATCTGAAAATGAAAGAGGAGATGTGAAAATCAAAAAGAAAGCAACCTTGAGAAATGGAGATCTGCGAGTTATTAATGTAAATAAAAATAATTACTTAAAAATAGTTCAGAAATAGGGCACTTAGATGGAAAATCAGAGCTAATGAGTTGCTGGTTAAAGTTGCCAGTAAATATGGAGTTCGGTTAAGGTACAGAAACATTTCTATTCCCAGATTTACCCATTCTGATTGAGGCAGTCTCAGTGGATGCTATTGCAGTTACCTCCTGATTGTAGTCCGATGAATCACTGTAGAGCTTCATTTTTATATTTGATAAATCAAGTGTCATTGCTCTGTGCAATTTAATGTATTTCCACAGAAATCCTCACAACCTTTCCTGACCTCCGAGGTCTTTGGGGCAATGGATTTTAGGGTAAAGCTGGGCTAAACTTTGTAGTTATGATGTATAAATAAGTGTATTTTAGATACATAAATTCCCACAGTTAAGTAATAAATAGTAATACTGTGATGTGTCTTGACCACTTCTTTACAATCAACAGCAATTACTCTTAATCTGTGCTTATTCTCTCCCCGCAGCCCCAGCAAATGTCTCCATGCCAGTCCTTGCAGGAGCCGCGTTTTGATTGCGACATTGCTGTTTGCCATGGCACGATAGACCAGAAAGCTCCAGGCTTTCTGGCATTCAAGCAACATTATTGTTTATCTTGGGGGAGCATTGTCTCTTTTTTGGAACACACAGAAAAGCTCCTCAAGGACTACGCGGTACCGTTGGCTACAATAAGCTGTAAAAAGTTGGCGGAAGTCGCGTCCGACTTCGAGCTTAATGAGAATCCCACCAAAAGTGATATTTTGTCAGTGATAAAGAACCAAGCAGCCGTGGAAAAGATCTTAAATCGACCTGGCCAAAGATACAAAGGCCAAGGGGGTACCGAAACGGCCGCTACGAAGATCCAAGCAACGTGGCGACGTTACAGGGCCAGAAAAGCCTACGTCCGCTCCAGGCAGCAGCAGTGGGCATCAGGTGTGATCGCCGTTTCTTGGCTCTTGCGCAATCGCGTGGCACGTGTGAAACAGACCCTGAAGGAATCGCGTCGGAGACACCTGGAGAGTTTTTACAGCAGGGCCAAGGTGTGCAGTGCTACCAGCTGTTGCGGCAGCGCTTCTTTTCTAAACATCTCTTGCTTCAGTGATCGCAATAAGCTGTTTCCATTTTTTTTCCCCCCTTTAACCATACACTTGTCCGAGCATCATATTTCATCCTTCATCAGCGATTCAGCCTTCGTGGCTGCAAAATCTGTTGCAGTGTTTCTACCGAAAATGTCCCTTCGCTTTGACTTTAGCGGTTCTGTCAGAAAATCAATGTTTTAACTGCATTACCTTAGTTCCCTATATATACCTTGTGGCACTTAATTTGCTGGAAAAAAAATCCCTCTCTTGTCTACATTCCTGTCACCACTTTGTCAGAAAGTATTTAAGTTTGCAGACAGCCTCTTAATTAGTGCTCACAATTTCATTTATGTTTGCTTTCGGTTTTTTTCATTCATATTCTGTTAATTAAGTGAGCAGCCTCTAATCTTCCCCTGCCAGTAGCTTCATGTAGCCACCTAATTAAATTAATTGGGGAAGATGTTTTAAGTATGTAATTAAATCAATTAATATAATTTATGCCTGGCTTAACTGTACAGTGGAAAAAACAGCTGAAGTTTGACTAGATGAATCCACTACTGCTTCCTGTCACTGATCAATGCTCTTCTTGATTTTTAGCATCTGGCAGCCAACTGGAATCGCATCAGGACCTCCAGGAGGACCATTATCCATATCCCATCATTAGGTATAACACTTTTGCCTGCAAATCTATCAGCAACCTCTATTACCCACCACATTATGACTCCTTGATTGAGTTCAAGGAAGGCCCCTTGTTTTATTCAAATTGGTCTCGGCAGGAAAATGTTCTCGACATGATGAGAGTAATAACACAGGGCCTTCGCTCGAAACGGCGTTTAATTTGGGGATTAAGCAAATAAAGTCATTATGTGGGGGCCGCTATTCAGTGGAGAGGTGATTTGCTGTAATTTGCTTTCATCTGTATGAAATGAACTAAAAAGTTGTATTTTTCCCCCTGAAATAACAGATAATGTTTTCGGCCTCCTTTAATGATAGGAAAACATGGGCCTGTGTGTGTTGTTGCTGTTACAGCAATAAGCCGGGATATTGCTTGTACACTGTTTTTAATCAAATGTGCAGTCAAAATGATAAGCTACATTCTCTGAAATTATTTAGTTCTAATTACGAGCAGATGGGATGCTTTATTTGCACCTAGGGCGCCTGAGCAAAAGGAAATGCTGTGTGAACAAGAATAATTAAGAAGTTGAATAGTGTTTTTTGCGCTTAAATAATCTGCAGTTTCATGTTAATTAGCACTAATGTAATTATTTAATTACATTTATGAATTGGGGAGCTTAAAAGCTGGTTTCTGCCATGCGATGGCAAAGTGTAGGTGTTCAGAAATTACAGAATATGATTCCTGGGGTGTTTCTAAAATGCACCGATAATCTCTCAAAACGGGAAATCCCGTCAGAACGCTCGTAACTTGATTTAAATTTTGTACTTACGTAGCAAATTAATTGACCTGAGAGAGTCAGGATTTCGTAAAGTGAATCGGTTAAGACCTGAATTAATGAAGACTGTAAATAAGTTTTAAGCTCTCGGTTTTGGAGCCCAGATAGCCTTTTATTTCATGACTCTGCTGACTGTGTTTAGCATAAATATACATCTACAAACAAGTGGTTTTAATTACACCTCTGTCTTAAAGTCTCGTGTGAATGCACTAGGTTGAATCACGTGACTGGATCCTATTTTAAAGCAGGATCATTTAAAAATAATTTCTATATTGCAGTGTTCCAAACTGGGTGAAAAGGTGACGGAGAGCATTTAGACAGGAAAAAGCAGTTATGAATTAGGTGTGTGAATCAAAAAGTCAGCGGAGTTGTCGCACAAGAGATGCTTTCAAAGTTGTATTGAAAAAACCTCAGTATAATCAAAACAGGCTAACATGAAAAAATTCATCCTTTTGTCCCCGTTCCTCTGGTGGATTCGTAGCAGTGGAATTTATACAAGTTTTTAAATTCTTTCAACCCCTTAAATTCTAAAACTCTGGGGAAATTCCACTTCATTTGGCACTTACCTGGAGCCCAGGCCCTGGTTCTGTACCCTGCCCTACATAACCTTCTGCTGTAAATCCCGAGTTTGGATATGGCTGCGTGCGGGCTGCAGTATTCAAGTGGAAATTTTCCCTTAATGAGGAAGAAAGTAAGTGGCAAAGATAATTCGAGTGCAGATGTTTTCTTAGACAATGAGGAAACCTATTTAAGTAGGGCATGGAAAAAGTATATTCTGTCCTCCAAAAAAGGGGATTTGAAAGTGCTCTTTGAGAAAGTTCTCCCTGCTTGTTTTATTAAATGCATCGACTCCAGCAAGAGCTCCAGTGGAGTTCCTTAGGGTTTTTACATGAATTAAATCCCGATAAGCATTTAGCTTATTGCAATGTAATGTAAATACATGGTAGTTGTTTTTTTTCTTTTGGAATGTTAAGATTGAACTGCTTTTGAGAAACAACAGCATAAAATGACCGAGGAATTGAGCAAATTTGGTTTACTGTAATTGTAAGAACAGCTTACATTTAAAATTTGAAAATATGAAATCATAAATTCTGTAAACTAAAAACCTTTATAATGTAAGGATAGAAATAATTGTAAATGTTTTATTATTCCGCTCCCACACATCTGACATTTCAAAAACCATTTGGGCCCATTACTGGAGCATTTCCAGCTCTTAACGTGGAGTTTGTTCTCAGGCCTTTTCCAGTGCTTGTGGTCTGCCATGGCTGGTGATATTTCTTTTGAAAAAGCATTAAATACCTTGAAATCTTTTACCTTCTTCTCCTTGGCCTTATGGAATGTTACCATTAAGTCTGTTTGGGCTGGCTTCCAGGAAGCTGCACAACCTAAACAGGACACACTTGATTCAGTCAAAGAGGACTAAATATGCAAAACGACAGCAGATTTCAGCAAACTTGGGGTTTTTAAGGCCTGAGTCTGAGTAATCATAGAAATCATAAAACCTGGGACAGAGCAGGTAAACACCAAGAGACAAAACCACTCTTGATAGTTTCTCCTTCAGTTTTGTAGATCAAAAATAGAGCCTGAAATTCTCCACTCGCATTTCCTTGACCTCAGCGTTTAGGGCAAGTGGGAGTCTGATTTTTCTCCCCGTGCAAGTGGAATTCCAAGAAATGAAGACAAAGTCATAACTGGGCATTTCTCAGCTGTCTTCATCTCCACAGCAATTTCAGACTCATGCAAAGTTCCTGGAAACAACCCAGGGAAAGGGATAGAGAAGGGCTTAAATTCTACTGCTGTGAGGAACAAACGTTTCCATTCATTGCACCAAAACAAACTTTGGATTTCTGATGTAGCTAAAAAAAGAGAAAGTAGATTGCATTGTTTAAAGCTTGCTTTGCTTTTTTGCCAGTTAGTGTAAGGAAAAATGAGTTTGAACTTCCTAATCGGCTTTACTCCCACGCACTAATGGATGAAGTCACTTCTGCAACATTTGGGATTTAAATACTGTTTCTCTTTTCATTCAGCTATTTTAAAATGATTGATCAGTCTTTCTACCCAAATAGTTAAACTTACAGTAAAGAAAATTTGTCACCTTATAGAATATATTATATATATTATATATTTTGTATCT